CTTCTTCTCAGCTAAACAATACATTCAACTTTAGAGACAGGATTCTGGACTGCATGGTCCAATAATTTGACCATGCTTAATAGCTTCCCTTAGCTCTCTGCCTTCTATGTTAGAATCACAGTTTCTGTTCTATGCTCCTCTTTTTCATTTTGAAAAAGAAAAAAATAAAACAGCCTGGGATTTTGTCCCTTGTAAGCCAGAAGACCTGGCCTGATGGAATTTCAACAAAGCTGGTTCAAGAAGAAACAGAGAAGCCAAAATCACCTCTTTGGGGAGGTTAGTGCTGTGAGCCCTATAAAAGATTAACTCAAGTCATCCTGAGTTTAATTCAAATTTGACTTGCTTATCTTAAAATTATGAACTGAAAACAGCAACCAGAATAATGGTAAACATGCATGCTACTTCCAATAGCCTACTCTGTGAAGAGTTACCTTTTCTTTTTTTTTTCTTTCTTTTTTTTTTTGGTAGAGATATTTAAGACAATTTTATCCTGTTGTCAGGAACAGAGCATCTGAGTATGCTCTGACTTAGTCAGAAACACAAGAAGCTGCCTCATACTGTTTGTCCACCTCTTGGACAAAGTATTGCGTGCTCACTGATCGCAGTTTTCAAAGGTCTCAGAGAAGAAGCCTTTCACATCACTGATTCTGTTTTCTTTCTCTTTTTTCTTTTTCCCCATGGAAGGGATGCCTCTCATCACCCAGTGGCTACTCTGGTTCCTTGTCTCCAGTATCTCTCTAGCCTTATCTTTGAGTACACTCACATTGAGACACCTGTCCTACTCCCTGCAGCACAGTGCCCCCTAGTGCCTGCTGCTGTTCTACAACATCATCAAAGCCTGGCCAGAAATTGGACTTTGGAAGAAGGAATAATAATAAGCACATAGGATCATTCCAAACACAAAGTGGAATAAAGTGGACAGCCAGTGCAGCCTGAATGAGGCTGAGACTGTGAAATACTCTGTATTCCCAAAGCAGTAGAGGGAGAATAAAAACAGACATTTTTATTTTGAAGAACCCATTCCTCCTCCTCCTCCTCCTTCCTTTGTCCTTCTTCAGAATTGTTCTTGACACTGGGAGACATAAAGTGAGAGTTTGAGAAATATGCTACATGAATGCAAATAAGAAGTGGGACCTCTGTATCTTCTGGGGTTTGGTTCCCGGAACCCCCCATCCCGTCACCCATGGATACCAAAATCTGTGGATGCTCAAGACCTATAATATACAATGGTATAGTAAAATGGCATCCCTTATATAAAATGGTGAATAACTCAAAGGTTTGCTTTTTGTAAATTAAAAAAAAATTCCACGTTGTGGATGGTTGTGGTATCCATGGGTACAGAACCTGTGGATATGGAAGACCAAATGTCATTGTTTGTCATTCTAAGGCTGCATCTGCACTGCAGAATTAATGCAATTTGCTCCCATGTTAATGCAATGCTATGGAATTCTGGGATTTGTAGTTTTGTGAGATATTTAGCTTTCTCTGTCAGAGATCTCTGGTGCCATAACAAACTACAAATCCTAGCATTCCTTAGTATTGAGTAATGGCAGTGAAAGTGTTGTCAAACTGCATTCTTTCTGCAGTGCAGATACAGCCTAAGATTTAGAACAGACAGCAATGGCTACAAGATTCATGTTTCAACTATTTTAATGGCTGATTGATTGACTGATTGATCACACTATAGAACTGCACATAGCTAATGTTTTCTTGGCATCATGCAGACTGTTAAAATTATACAATACGAGCATGATACAGTGACCTTAGAGTAAGACTTCCTCAGTTCTAGTCATCAAAATCTTTTTCTTCATCTGGACTTATGCACTGATGCCAACGTTATCAGCTGTATTCAGGGACAAGAAACAATTTGGGAGCTCCAACAGGATTTTAACAACTTTAATCCTACTATCAACAAGTTAACTGGACCAATATATGCCACAGGAGTATTTTCTGGACACTGTTCTGAAACTTCATTATTAGCAGTAAGTATGAACGTATATTAGAAACATACTGATTGCTACAGATGTCTACATGCATCCAGCTCCCATCTCAAAACACCATACAGTCCATTATCTGTAATAAAATGTACAGTGATTCATCAGCCAAAGAATCACAATTCAGGCTGCAATTCGGTAACTGTTTACCTGCAAACAAATCCCACAGAGTTGAATACTGAACTTACTTCTAAGCAGATATGTATACAGTTGCAGTGTGAAACGTTTATACCAGGTGTTTCTTAGACTATCATATCCACCTAATGAAATGAAAGAGAGCCACTGTTATAATAATAATAATGATAATAATAATAATAATAATAATAATTTATTTGTACCCCGCCTTTTGCCATAGGAATCAAGGCGGCTTACAGCTAAAACAAATATAAACCCCAACATAAACATAATACCCCCCGTTAAAACTACATTAAATATAAATCTCAAAACATTTTAAACAATAAACAATTAAAACCATAGGCACTCTGGGGCAAGCAGAATAAAGAAAAGGAGGGTGTTTAACGAGGAGAGACCTAGCTTAGAGGTGATTTTGTTCTGGATAAGCCTGCCAAAAGAGATCCATCTTGATGGCTTTTTTAAAGCCATCTAAGTTGGTTATCTGACGGATCTCTTCCGGCAAGGCGTTCCAGAGTCTGGGAGCGGTAGTGGAAAATGTCCTCTGGGAGGTTGCCATCAAGTTAGTTCTTATTGGCTGAAGAAGCTTCCTTCCAGAGGACCTGAGGGCGCAGGGCAGATTATATGGAAGAAGGCGATCCTCAAGGTAAGTTGGGCCCAGGCCATGTAGGGCTTTAAAGATCATCATCAACACCTTATACTGTGCTCAGAAACCGATAGGCAGTCAGTGGAGAGATCTTAAAATCGATGTGATATGATCACTCCTGGATGTTCCAGTGATCATCCTGGCTGCCATATTTTGTACTAATTGCAGTTTCTGAGTTAGATATAAGGGTAGCCCCATGTAGAGTGCATTGCAGAAGTCGAGTCGTGAGGTTACCGATGCGTGTACTACAGTTTCTAGGTCCCTTACTTCCAGGAAAGGGCGCAGCTGGCCTATCAGCCAAAGCTGATAACAGGTGCTTCTGACTGTCGCATTCACCTGATCTGTCATGTGAAGCGATGAGTCTAGGAGCACCCCCAGACTGCAGACACAGTCCGTAAAAGAGAGCATGACCCCGTCCAGGACTGGAGGTCACAACCCAATCCATGGTTTGGGACTCCTACTGTAAGTACCTCCGTTTTATCCGGATTCAGCTTGAGTTGATTTTTCTTCATCTAGTCCATTACCACTTCAAG